AGTGACATATGGTTGCTGTAAGACTATATGGGAGAGAGAGTAAAAAATGGAAAACAGGTATAGGAAAGGAAGAGAATGTTTTTAAACACCAAATAAACTTGTTAATTTTCAAGTCATCTTTAAAAGGCATATCCCAGAAGCATTACCTGTGAAGCAATCGACTAATTATTGTGATGTCTACAGTATTTGTCATGTGGTCATGTGGGCGTCCTTTGTTTGTACTTGATGAAGATAGTGATGGTGACAATGGTGAGTTAGGAGGTCATTTACATTCGTTGATGCTGCAACGCACGAACGTGGTCATATATTGCATGCGTCTATAACTCAGTAAGCAAATCTGAAGACAGGGACTTCAGGAAGTGCATGTTAGGTTCCCTGACTTCCGATGGGATTCTGGGCTTATCTAGTGAGTAGCCCTAATGTACAATAAGTGGAGTAGAGCACAGTAAGCACTTAGCACATGCTTGTAAGATCTGGCATAATCTTGCGATTTTTCATGGCATCTTGAGGGAGACAGATTGGAAATTTAGCTAAGCTGTCAAACTCCTGGGAAATGGCAGCAAGTACTGAATTTACCAGGCTACTTGAGAACCTGCCAAGAAGGAGGACTTTTCATGAAGGATGCTGGTGGGTTAGTGGGAGGACAGTAAGTAGTTGCCCTACAAGAACTCACCACAGGGAAGAACCCTCATGCTTTCATTGCTCTTGACCATTCTGGTTCCTATCAGAATGGCCTTCGGTCTAGCCCCGGTCTCCCAGGGCCACTCAGGACACAGACCATTCATGGGGCTGGCCTCCTCCAGCAAGACACTGTGAGTGGGTAAGATCAAGATTCCCATCTGCAGACCCTGTGGCTCCATCCCCACCAGAAATGGCAAGCCTGCCTGGCCTTTGGGGAGGCCCCAGCAGACCTCCTGCTCACGCAGACCTTCCCACCACACCAGATGGGGCAGGAGACAAGCTAGGGGCTTCCAACCAAGAGCTCAAAACATGGCTGACCCTCCAGATCACAGGGGAGCTTTCAAAAGACCAGGTCCTGGGACTCCACCCCAGTGAAGGCACCAGAATCTCGGGGGAGGTGCAGGCGGCAGGAACCTGTATTGGCAGAAACTTCCCGGGTGGTCTTGACAGATAAGCCAGAGGTGTGGACAACCCAATCAAGTGTGCGACTGTTCACAGTCCACACACCTCTGGGATGCCTCAGACCAGTCAGTACTGACTCCGTTTTTAGACTCCAGGGAGAGAGAATTTATGATCCATCCAGATGAGTGTTTTTGAGAAGAAAAACCTGGGGAATTTAGAATTTCATCAGCCATAGGCATCCGAGGGAGGTGGGCTGGGTCATGCCAGGGCTCTGTGCTGGCCTCAGGGGCCTGTGGAAGTTTTATCACTGAGGGACAGCTGAGGCCAGGGCGGCCCTGGTGGGTGGCACAGTCACTGGGCAGCCGGTGGGAGTCAGACGTTTGTAATGGTCAGACTTAGTTCTCTGCCAGTCAGTCATCTGGGATGTGATACTGGCTTCACTGGTTTAGACCCAAGAACAGACTTTCCTTCCTGTGCTTGCTCTGCATTCCTTCACTCTTTAAAGGAAGGGGGACAATGCAGGCACCTCTGTTCAGAGCATCTCAGACAGTCAGTCATAGTTGTGTCTGCAGATCCAGTTCGTCAGACGCCTGTTGAGTATGTGTGTGCGTGCATATGTATGCATGAGTACCTGTGTGTGCATACGTGCTTATGTACCCATATGTACTGGAGTGCACATGCTCATATGTATGTGTGTGCACACATGTGTGCTTCTATCCATGTGTGTATGTCCTCATGTATGTGTATGTACACAGGTGCACACGTGTGCATATGTTCTTATGTATACACACGAGCACACATATGTGCTTATGCATATACATGTGTACATACTGTACATGTGCTCATGTGTGCACACACATGTGATCAAACCAATGTGTGTACTTGTGTGTGAATGTTCTTATGTATGTGTGCACACACATGCTTATGCACATGTGTACTAGTGTGTGCACATGCTTGTATGTGTGTGCCCACACATGCGCTTATACCCGTGTGTGTACTTGTGTGTGCATCTGTGCTTATGCACGTGTGTGTGTGTGTGTGTGTGTGTGTGTAGGAAGTGGGGAAGAGAATTGGGCACAGTTGCAGATGACATGTCCGTGCGGAGGTGTACAAATGCCGACCAAATGAGGGCATGAGGATAAAATAAGCTCAAGTGATAGAGACCATGCAGGGCAATGCTGGCAAAGAGAGGGTGGCCCCCAAAGAGGCCAGGAAGTGGGAGGCCTTGGTCTCCAGGGCAGGGCTTCTCCCAGGTTGTGATGTGCTTGTCAGAACCGATGATAACCTCAATAGGGATGGCACGTACTTGTATGGGCACAACGATACTGCCGTGACCTTTGGGCTGTGTGCCCCAGAGTGGAGGGGGAGTGAGGCTGGGTTTCTGCAGGGCTGGCCTGTAGGAGGCAGACAGGCTGACCTCTGTGATTGGCCCCAACAGGCAGGGTTCCCTGCAAGGCTGTCCCCATGGCCTCTGCCCAGTAGAAGCCCATCAGAGTGAAGGTCATGGCTGCCTGCATTCCTTGCTCCAGCAGGGCTTTCCAACCCTCTTGAAAGAGTAGCAGAGAGAAACACACGAGAGAGCCAATGCAGAGCCTCCACCCTTGATGTCAGCGGATTCTCTCTAATGTGACAGTTATTCCTGAGCCTCATGCCTTCCTTGGGAGGGCAGGGAAATTGAAATCTGTCTAAGAGACCCTTCCAAGCAGAAATTTGGGGTTTTCTGTCCTTACTGAGTGGATGAGGAACAGTGATGTAGGGCTCTTGGCAGACGGCCTGCGGGATGAACTGGCCAGCGGCCCCTCTTTGGCATCTCCAGTAGGAGGCACTGGAGCAACACCAGCCTCAGCACCTCATTTTTGTCTGGCATTATCTGCAGCCAAAATGTGAGGAAAATGCTTTATTTTTTTTCTCCTACCAGCACCTGCCACTTCTTAAAAACACCATGAAATAAAAGACATCTGTGCCTGAAAGCGAACCCCAGGGCACATGTGAGAACGTGTGTGTTTGTTTTTCTAAATCACCAGCTTTGCAAGTTGGAATCAGGACTGTGGAGGCTGCAGTGGGTGTCTGAAGTGCAGAGGTGGGGGCCCGATGAGCTGGAACTGGCCTCTGCAGACACCGGTGGGGCTCCCGGCGGGGCTCAGGCGGGGCTGGGTTCCCAATGGCAGGAAGCTGCATGAATTAGGCCAGCCGCACACATGTGCAGGTCTCCCCCCCAGGACTGAAGAGCTCTAGGCTGGGTTTTCATGATGCCAAAGCTTCCATGAAAAATGGAACGATAATTCCAGTAGCTACACAGACCACATTTCAGTTATCTATGGGGTGTCGGGCTCATGTAGACCCAGCCTGATGAACACCTCAGGAGAAATGATCCGCTCCATGTTGTTGTTCCCTCTCTCTTTCTGAGATGGCATGGTGGTGAAGGAACACCCTGCCTGACCCCATCAGGCCGCCCAGCCCCTCACCCCTGGGGCAAAGCCTTGAAATGTCCCTGGTACTTACTGGGTTGCATTCTCTTGATTCTCAATTAGACTCGATTCTTCCATTTACTTTCCATAGAGTGTTGTATGGCCTGAATGTTTATGTCCCCAAATTCTTATGTAGAAGCCTAACCCCCAGTGTGGTGGTGTCAGGAGGCGGGGCCTCTGGGACATGATGAGGTCATGAGGGTGGAGCCCCCATGGATGAGATTAGCATCCTCATGAAAAAGAAGTCACAGTGAGAAGATGCCTCCTGTGAACCAGGAAGCGGGTCTTCACCAGACATTGAACCTGCTGACGCCTTGATCTCAGACATTCAACCTCCAGACTGCGAGGGATAAGTGTCTGCTATTTATAAGCCCCGACCTGTGGCGTCCACTACAGCGGCCCACGCTGAGTAAAGGTATTGAAAAAGTCACTTGGAGTCCCACTCTGAAGGATCCCATCCAGCCCGCTCCCTAGAGAAGCAGGTTAAATTCATGTAGGACTAAAGCTATGCTATTTCCCGCACCCTTGGGATGTGGCAAGGCAAGCATCCAGCAAGCACTCATCTTTCCTTCTAGTGGTGATTCAACACAAACGTAGTCTTCCATGTGGGAGGAGGGGTCAGAAGGGAGAATTTAGTGACTGTACCATCTCTGTTTCTACTGTTGTTTCCTCTGAGCCCAAGACAGAGACTTCAGTGCCTCCACTGCTCATTAGGACCAGGTCCCTGTCACACACACACTTAATGGCATGGCCACATCAGGAGGGTGGCCTGTGTGGCTTCTGGGAAGGTACGTGTACGTGTACACATGCGCACAAGCATGTGTAACACACACACACACACACGCATCAGCAATAGATTTTCTTAGCACACTTACAGCAGCCACAAGATTTCTTGTTTCACAGGGATGCTGAGCATCAGATCCACAGGGAGGAGACCCCTTGGTGTCCTGGCACACACAGAGTGCCCTTTCCGTGTTGCTGGAGGTGACTGGTCCTGTGCATACCTGCTTTCATAAACTCCCTGCAAGTGGGTTCAGCACGGAACTTGGGGTGATGCCAGCTAACCTGGGGAGGTGTCTGCTTGGCATCACCTGTTACTGGCTTAGTTAAAAAGCTGTGCTTTATTTTCCCCAAAGTTGCAGCAGAAGCACCCAAAGCAGTGTGAATGTGCTGTCACTGCATGTAACTCTGGTCTTCGTCCTCCTGGCTCTGTCCTCAGCCCAGGACAAGGTTTCTGACTTATCACATGACGTGGGAGCCAAATAATGAAACAGTTTATATAGAGGGACAGCTAGTCAGGACTGCAGATGCCATGCCATCGGTGCCCAGCATCTGAGGGCCTGGCCACAGCACACGCGTGAGGCCTGGCACAGATAGCCTGGGGCCGCATCCCAGATGGAGGACAGCATGGGGCCAGTTGTTTAAAAAGGTAAAAACTTGGTCTCTTACGGTCCGTGGTGATTTCGTAGGGAGAGTTCAGGCGCGCATCTCCGCAGGGGGACGTGCTCACGTACAGATGGAATAGGGTGTTGTCCCTCAGCCTGTAGCCTCCGTCCTTCAGCCGCACGAATATGGAGCGCTCCGAGTCCTCTCGACGCTGGCTAGGGACAGAAAGAGGCGCAGTCACTGCTGTGGACCAAGCCAGACATGTCCCGACAAGCGGGCGCTTTTGTCCCATTTTGTTGTTATTCCCCACTTTCCCCTCTTCACCTTTGCACAGAAACCTCTAGAATAGCTGAAAGCAAAACATGGCAGAAACCCCGTTCTTGTCACCCCTCTCCAACAGTCACGTTTGGGCTCTTTCCCACAGCCCGCTTCTTAGTAGATGTGAACCCGGATCTGTGTTTATAAAACTGGGCTCACAAGCGGTCCTCGCGGGCACCGTGGGTTCCACGCGGCCTCCACGGGCAATGCGTTTCTGTATTAAAGGAGAAAAGGAACTTTGACAGTGGGTAGAGCTTGGCTGCCGGACCAGCGAGGAGTCCAGGGCTTGGACCTGCTTTCCTTCTGCACCCAGCCCGGGTAGTGCTCCAGCAAACCCAGCAGCCCTCCAGCCCCTGAAGGACATGTCTTTGCCCTTGGCCGTCCCACGCAGTCATCACATGCCCATCTCCTCTGATGTGCCCAGGCCCTGCAGGGCACGAAGCCAGCATGGCTGCTCCCTTCTCAGACCCCATTCTCACTAGTCACAGACTCTCTTCTCTCTGCCGCTCTGGCTGTTTTTACACGTTCTGCCCCATTGGTGACGGATTCTCGCCTGCCGGTTGTGCCATCACACAGGCAGCAGAACAGACATTTTCTCCCCAGGAAACCCTCAAGATGGCCCACAGTCTTCCTGCTTCCTTGCCTCTGCTCCTTCCGCTGCCAGTCCCCCCTTGCTCTCTCGAAGTACCCCCCTCCCTGGCCCCAGGCTTGGAGCAAATGCAGAGCCTGGCCTGCGGGGGCACTGTGCTCCACTTGTCACCTTTGTTGGCTTTCTGCAGCCATTGCTCATACCCCCATGGGGCAGGCCGCACCCTTCCCAGCCAGTGGCACGGTGACATTGCTCGTGGGTCACTCCCTGGAGCTCCCAAGACTCCACGTTAGTGGGTTTGAGGGACACTGCTTCAAAGGATGTGGACGCAGCTGGGGGAGGCAAGGGAGAAATGTTTCTGGCAAAGACACAGCCATGAGGCACTGTGACCACACACCCCACTGCAGGGCTGCATCTGGACGCGTCACGTGCTCACGTCCACCTGCAGCTCTGCTTCTGTGGTTTTTGTAGAGAGATGGCAGCCAGCGTAGCGACAGCCTGCACCTTCTGGCGGCCCAAGCAGGTTGCCCGAGGACCTGGAGCGTGTTTCCTGGGGTCTCCGCCACCCCATGCTTTCAGAACCTCTCTGAGAACATGCTCAGAGGAGGAGCAGGCAAGAAATTGCCACTTCAGTGGTGGTTCCAGGCGTCAGGGTCTGGGAAGTCGGGTGCACTCAGGACTGTGGGGTATAGGAGAGGGTTGAACCTGACTGGTGTTTCAGATGTGCTCTGAGCTGCTGGCTGGAGACATGGGAAGTTGGCCTGGGCTTGTGTGTTAACATTTGAGCCCCATGGCCTGGGATGGGACAAAGTCTGGGGAAGGGAAATGAAAAGGCAGGCTGCCCGGTGTCTGAGAGGAGGCCACACCTTGTGTGCTCTGTAAGAAGTGTCCGTGGCTGAGAAACTGTCAGAACAGGTTGCAGACAAAGATGGAAGGAGGCGCTCAGCTCTCCTGCACATTTCTGCTGGTCAGACGCACCAAGCCTAGTGAAAATACTGGGTCATGGCTCCCCTTTAAAGTGGGCACAGCTTTGTCAGAATGGAACGGAGGTGTCGATGTCACCAGTACTCTGTTGTGCTGGGATACAGTTGACTGGGGGAGTAGGGAGTTGCTCCAGGTAACAAAGCACCATCCACAGTGTTTCCCAGAGGCAGCCAGCTTTCTGTGGGGTTGTCTTTCTTTTTAGAGCCTGCGGCTAGATCTGGATTAATGATGAAGGCCCGTGGTGGAAAGAATATTGTCTTCACTAAAACCCACAGGAAAGGGCAGCTGCTCCTCTGGGGACACCTGTGCGTCCCTCTCTAGCTAGCCTGCAATCCCATCGTCTCCTTGTCTGTGGCATTTGGAGTGTGAGTGAGGAGCGGGCAAAACACTCTGAGTGATAGCGGTCAGTGTGTGGAGTACTGGCAGCCATGGCCTCACCCTCTTTATTATCAGAGCCCTTGACTTTGGATGAATTCTGGCCTTGTGACAAGAGCACTGTGCCAGGGACTTGGGCCTTAACTGTGGGACACTGTTGTCCTAGGGAAAGGCTGCCCTTTAGTGACCCCCTTGCTATGGGCTCAACGTTTGTACTCCCAAAATTCCCATGTTGAAGCCATACCCCCCAGTGTGGTGGTGTCAGGAAGTGGGGCCTTGGGAGGTCATGAGGTCATGAGGGTGGATCCCCCGTGATGGGATCAATGACCTTATAAAGGAGACCTCTGAGAGCTCCCTTACCTCTCCCTCCATGTGAGGTCATGTGCCGTCCATGAACCAGGAAGTGGGTCCTCACCAGACACTGGATCTGCTGAGGAGTTGACCCTGGACTTCCACCCTCCAGACTGTGATCAGTCAGTGACTCAGCCCCAACCTGGGGTGTCTGTTATAGCAGCCTGAACTAAGACACCTCAGACATTTTCCTAGAAAATGTCATCACATGGAATGGGTGTGTGACACGATGTGTTCATACATGTGGGCATGCGTATGGGGGGATGACATGTGTGCACCTTGCAGATCGCCTGCTGCAGCCACGGTCACCCAGGGACAGGCAGACGTCCCCTGGAGGGAGGCCTGAGCATCATGAGGAGGTGTCTGAAATTTGAGCATCTGACCGGACTGTGTGGCAACATTGCCAGTGCCCAAAGCACGCCTCCCATCTGAGTAAGATGAGTGCTGCTAGGGCAGCCTGTCCGCCACATGCAGGGGTTCTGCTTGAATACAGATAATAACAGCGGAGCTGACCTGTGTCACTAGGCCGAACTGACGTCCATAGCCAGTGTCCCTTGGCCTGGCCACTCACCTGAGGTGCAGCTCCAGCTGCGCATACAGGAAGTGGAGCAATGCCCTTCGGGCCACGGTCTCGGCGTGGCAGTCGTTGACCACCAGCCCCTGGTCATTGATGTACTCGCCGCTGATGCACTTGGTCCCTGAGGACAGGACGACGACCTGAGCTTGCCTGACGTCCAGGCCTGGGGGACAGAGAAGGCATCAGAACAGCGCCCTCCCCATGGGGTGACTGCTTTCCTTGTCACCTGCCTCATCCTGTGCAGAGCCCGCTGCCCCAGCCTCCCTGTTCTCCCACTTGCGAGCCTCTACGTTCACACAGGCTGGCGAGTACTGCACGGCTGCAATGAGGGGGCTTCGTGGAGACACATCAGGTGTCAGTGGGAGTGCTCATTCCCAGACTACTCAAAACCTGAGTGTGTCTGTATTTGATGGGCACATTTGTATAGCAGAGTCCTGGGAAGAGAGGATGTGGTGACCTGTCACCAAACAAGCGACACAAGGTCACTGCCACCCACAACCTGCAGGGAGAGCAAGTGGACGGGCTGCTGGTGTTCAGGCTGCAATCCCAGAGTATAGAGCCCCTGGCTGCTTGCACCATCATTACCCAGACAGATCCCAGAAATCCTACCAGCACTTCCCCTTGGTCCTGGGGGTTGAGAATTACACCTTAATTTAAAGATTCACTGATGAGAACGTGTGGTGCCCAGGATGGGGGTGGAGGCCACAGCAAATGTGGACTGTGTGAGAACAGGACACCCCTCCCCCCGCCCCCAGCATTCACCTCTGAGGCTGCCCAGGGCTCCAGGTGATATTCCTGTGCAAACTCAAGACCCACAGACCGTGCGCTCACTTCGCCTTCCTGAGTGGAGCCTGCTGTCCCTTAGAGCCACTAGGACCTGGTGGTGAGCTGGACCAAGTGCCCGGGTCCCCAAACGTGTGTCTCTAAGTTACCTGGGACCTAGCTGGTGACTCCTACTCAGAGTCACTGCTTTTCTGACCTACTCCCTTTCTGGGGCTTTGCTTGGACTGAACAAACCTCTGATTGTGGAAGTCAAGGCTCATGGTCCCCAGGAGTTGGAGGTGCGAGTGTCACATGCTCAGCCATCTGTGCCCCAAGAGCACTTGTAGTAAGTGTGGCCTGGGCCTTGAGGGCTGCCTGGAGAGGCCATCAAGGCTAACTGAACACCACGCGAGTGACAACACAATGTTGGGCCCAGTGTGTCCCCTTCCAGAACTGCAGGGGTGTCTCGTGGGCCCCGCACAGACATGGGGGTTCCACTGAGGCTGTGGCCCACGCTCTCCATGAGTCCCGCCTGGGCCTGGCCTGTCTTTGGGGCCGCATTTCAGGAGTGATGTCTGAGCTACAGATTTTTCGCTTCCCCAAACTTTCGCTTACTCCTGAGGACAGTGCAAGACTCACATCACCAAAAGCCATGAATGGGGCTGAGTTCTCTGATTTAACCCACACGATTTCCATTTCCCCTAAAGAACCACAGGACAGATGGGGGACAAGCTGCAGGGGGCTATGCCTCCTGTTGCATGACACTTTCTGTCTCTGGAGGCCTCAAGCCCTTACAGCTCTGTAGGGGTCACAGCATGCACCATCACCATCTCTGCTTCCCTTCTTATGGGTGGACCCAGCTGTTTCCTGGACCCAGCACACCAGGCTTGGCGTGCTTCATGGCTTTGTGCTGACAGCTAGGAAATGAGGCTTCTGTCTGCTGGTGGCCGTCACATGTGACCAACGGAGAGAGTGCAGTCAGCTCCACGAGGACGAGCCTCAGGAGAACTCACAAAGCACCCCAAGCGTCATTGTTATTATTTTTAATGCTCTTTACATACAATGAGTGCAGGGGCTTTTGAGGTCAGAGGCACGAAGGGGGCAGTTTTATGATGCTCTCTGAGCCCAGGTTCCTAGCCACAGGATGGGGGCCATGTTGGCTGCTGCCTGGAGACCCCCTGCCACCCTTCTCTTGGCCTCAGCGCTTTTTTTCCTTTTCCCGCTGAGGACAGGAGCTCATAAGTCCTCCATGCAGGGCAGGTGTCACAACTTACTCTTCACAGGACTGTGCTCATTTTGACCACAGTCAAAGGAATCTTATCAACAAAAAGGATATTCTCTGCAGGAATGAAAACAAAACAAAACGAAAGAGGCCTCAAGAGCGAACCCCAAACTCTGTGTCTTTGAAATGTGATTCATTGAGAGTGTTTTCTCATGAGAAACTTGGAAAACAGTCATGGAAACAGGCTAGAATGGGGGACCAAGCAAGGCAAAGAGGAGGTGTCACTTGTGTGTGGTCTCAGGCTGATCTGATAGAAAACTCTGGAATGTGCAGCATGCCATGGAATCAACCTGCTGTGAGAGAAGGTCCTGAGCTGCTCCCACCCGCTTGCTGGGGGCAGGGTCCCAGGCACAGTGAGGGGCTGGCTGGGCGTGGTGCCAGCAGGTCCATGGAGAAGCAGGACTGAGTACACATCTCTATACCTATAAAATGGCCATCAAGCAAAGCTCGTACGCTGAAGATCGACATGAGCAAAGGTCCCAGAAAATCTGAACTTGCTGGTGTCTACAGAATAAATAGAAAAGGTGATCAGAGCTCCCTCCACAAGCACCAAGCCCAGTTAATTTTGGGGAAGATTAATACCAACCTTTAAGTAGCCAATGATATCATGACTACCAGCAGTGTTTCAGAGCATACAAAAATAAGGAAAACATTCCAATTTTTTTATTATGAAATGCCTACATTAGAGATCGACCTATTTGACTAAGACTAAAAGAGAAAGAAAACTACAGATGTCCTCAGTAATGGATATTAAAATTCTAACTAAAATACTAACCACCAAGCATCAGAGGAAAAAAGCAATACAGTCATCACTGTGAGGTGGGTTTATTCCAGAAATGCAAAAACGGATTATATTTAAAAAATTAGAATGCAATACTAAAATATGATTATAATCACAGACATTGAGAAGGCATCTGACAAAATCCAACAACCACTTTTAATAAAAACTCAATAAATAAAATATATGGTAATGGAAGGAGAACTGACTCTGGGTGGTGAACATACAGTGTGATATATAGATGATGTATTATGGAATTGTACACTTGAAACCTATGTAACTTTACTAACCATTGACACCTCAATAAAGTTTAATTAAAAAAACCTCAATCAATAGAATAGATAAATTTTCCCAAAGTGATTATATATGCAGAGGGTGTCCAAAAAATGTATACACATTTTAAGAAAGGAAAACTGTATTAAAATTGTCATACTCAATATATACCCACAACAAGAGATGAATACAAGTCACATTTGACTTCTGCAATCGCAAGAGGTGCTCAAAGTGGTTACCATCAGCGTCCAGACACTTCTGATTATGGTGAACTATTACTTGAGCAATATTGACCAAAGGGTCCACTTGTATACACTTTTTTGGACCCCAGTACACACACACACACACACACACACACACACACAATACATGTAGAGAAGTACACACACATATACAGGTATAGACACATGTATTATGTATAGAGACGGACACACACACACACACCCTGCATCATACTTGATGGGAGACCCTAGAAGGATTTTACTACACCTAGGACCACAACAAGAATATTCACTCTAACTCTATTATTTAACATCTATTGAAGCTATCAGCCAACACTACAAGAGAAATTAGAGATATGATAATTGGAAAGGAGCATCATCACTGTTTGAACACACTGTGATTGTATCTGTGGAAACCTCTAGAGAACCCAGTTGAAATACAGCTAGAAACAGTAAGTGAGTTGATCAGGTGATAGGGTACAAGTTAATACACAGAAATCAATAGCTTTCATATTACACACAACAGCTAGTGAGAAATGAGTTCATTTATGATAGCAGCAAACAAGATAATAGGAATGAGTTTAACAAGAAGTGAGCAAGAACTATAATGAATAAAACATTAAAACCTGATTGAGAGACACCAAGAAAACTCAAACAGAAGATGTGCCGCATTCTTGGTTGGGGTACTTAAAGTCCTGAATCCTCTCTGAAGGTAAGGTGGATGAAGTTCCAATAGGAATAGCACGAGAGCTTTGTTTATGACGAAGACAATCTGGTACAAAAACATAGTTTTGTTATTTCTGAACTACACAAGCTGATTGCAATGGTTCCCCCAGGAAATTCTGAAGAAGAGGACTGATTCTAAGAGATTAGCCCTGGTAGACATCAAGCAGGTGATAAAGGCTCAGGGATGTATATTGATGCATGACAGTGGAGCCGACAGGTGGAACGAAGCAGCGAGTCCAGAAATCGACCTGAACTCATGCAGGAATTTAATGTGGGGTAAAGGTACCATCTCACCCTGAGAGGCAGAGACACTGTTCCATTAATGATGTCTAATAATGGAAGAGCCATCTGAAAATAAAGTTGCATCTTCACCCTACACCACACACCGGGGTAAATTCTAGTGGATCAAAGGTTTAGATGCAAAAAATGAAGAACTGCACATGGATGTTTATAGCGGCTTTGTTCATAGTCACTCAAACTTGGAAGCAACCAAGATACCCTTCAGTAGGTGATGGATAAGCAGGCTTGTTTTGTAGATGGAGATGCCCATGTAGCCTGATGGGGAGTGAGGAACAGAGGACCCAGGTATCTGCTGTGTCACGCTTAGACAGGACACACGCCTCACCCCACGGGGCACATGGCTCAGAGACAATGCCAAGACTGACACTAACACACAATCGCTCAGGCACCCTGACTCTGCATGGGGGTCTGACGGGTGAATGCCCCCAAACTTGATGGGCTGCAGGTGAGGTGAGGGGTGAGCATGGGGAGGAAACAACAGAGGCTTGAGATGCTGTGGAGGCCTGATGGCTTTCCCAGGATCCCTGGGCGGTTCCCCCGGGACACGGTGAGTTGCATGGCTAAGCCCCCTGTGGGAGGTGGTGAGGTGGGGTGGGAATGACATATGGACAATCATGTTTCAGCCTGACTTGTCTGTGTTACAACTGTGTGTCCAGTACATGTTCCCTAATAAATGAACTCAACTTTTCCAAATTTAACTTTCGGGGCTCAGGGACTGGGCAGACCCACTGTACACACAGCCTTTCTCTTGCTCCCTGAACCTTTCTCTTCTCTTCCCGTCAGAGCTCACAAGGAACTTGTTGGTCAGTATGAGACGTCAGCGACTAAGGGGCATGAGGCTGGAAGGAGGCCCGAGACACTCCCATCACTGGTCCCTGAGCACTGCGGCCCGGCCCTCCCCCCTCCCCTTTGGCCCGGCCCTCCCCCCTCACCTGCTTCTGTGGGGCCAGAACAGAAAAGCCAGCCCGGTCTGCAGGATGCCTCCCTCTCCCTGCGCTGAAGGGGCCCATGGTGGGAAACTGGGAGAAGTGCAGACACAGGGGCCTGACCTGGGCCAGCAGCCCTGTGCTATGTGACACTGAGAAGATGGGGACTTGTTCACCACGCTGCCAATCATGGTCTCATTTCCTGCAGTCAGGAGCGGCCCTAAGTGATACGGCTTCGGAATGCAGGAACTCCAGGGTGGTGCGAGGTGGCTTGAGAGACGAAAGGGGACCAGGTTGGCTTGCAAGATGGCTACCAGTTGTTGCTCCGAACACGAGCGCTGTGGTGACGTCACACTTAGCATCCTACCCCCAAGGAAGTAGGATGACAGGGACCCTGGCAGACTGAAAACTGTCTTCCCATTTGGACAGCCATTGTGTACTTTGCCCCACTGAGAACCCTTTCTTCTAGATCAAAGGGACACGGATGCAACAGCTGATGTGGGTGGCCAGGTGGCCAGCAGGACGCCTGGCCGGAAACTACACCCAGAAGCCTTGAGTGAAGAGCAGAACACACACACTGCTCAGGAGCTGAAAGCTGCCCTCTGTAAGCAGCCACTTGATTTCCCTGTTTGTAAGGATGAGGACGTGGGATGTGTTTGAGGGGTTCCAAGGGGGACTCTGAGCAGTCCACGAACAGAGGGGACTCTGATGGGCTCCTCTGTTGACCTTGTATTGCGTTCTTTCTTTTCTTTGTGTGAGTTACTTTGGGCTCAAAAGGCTGACGACCATCCATTTGGCAAGTTCAAATGCCTTAGTTAATGGCCAGTGGCAGGGGGAGGCGCTGCACTGAGGCGGGATGGCGGCCACTTGCCCCGATCCTTTCCTCTCCTGACTCCGCAGACTGCGGGCTCATCCGTTAGTGACCTATCTTCAGGCACGGCCACAGGCGGAGCCTCCACCCCTGCAGCGTGACTGCCGTCCTTCCTCATCTGGGCGGCACCCTCTCCCTGTCATCAGCACAGGTGACAGTCCCCTTCCCCGGGCTCTTGTGGGAGACCTTCCAAAGCCTATCACAGAGGGAGACTGGGTGGCACTGGTGAGCACCTTGAGAGTTATTCCAGACTTGCCCCCCCTCATCTCTAAACAAGCAGCAGTGGGATTGGGCTGGGCCACGTATCCACTCAGAGACCGGGTTTCTCTCCCCCTCCATCTTAAGGAGGGAAGTTTGGTACACACAAGTCAGCATCCATGTGACATGAGGGTTGCTAGTAAAATCTATGCTGCATTTTGTGGTTTAAACTTCACCATTTAAACCAAAGGTTTAAAATAGATTGTGCACCACACTCCTTGTGCAAGGAGCCAGCCCCACAAGTCTTGATGTCTGTGGGGACCTGCCATCAATTTTGAATCTCTGTCCCCACTCAGAAGCTTTGAAGACCAGCAGCTTGAAGTCCACATGGTCATTTACTGCCTTCACCCCAGCGGCCAGCTTTTGTGCAGCTCGTTTGTTCCCACGTCTCTTTCCCACCTCCACTGGTATAAATAAAAGGACACCCCCCCACACTCCCCCCTCCCGCTTTAGATAGCAACATAGTATTTAGAGTCACTGAGAACAGGAGCTAAAAACCACTAGAGGAGGCGGCCTCTGTGGAGACAGGGAAGCCAGGAGTCAGGGGAGAGCATTGTTTTTCATGCCTGAGTTCTCTTCTGTTTGAGTTTTTACCACATGACCATGGTACTTTGATGACAGTTTTTGCTGTCGTATTTCTCATAATGGCTACAAAGTGATCTGCAGCTCATAAATGAAAAGGAGTTTGTATGAGCTAATTGATGGGAATGAATTGGCATCTCATCTCAAAATGCAGGGGTTGATAGCATTTTATTTAAAAATAAACTCAGTTTTGTAACATTGTAATATATATATATATATAGCAACAAGAATAAGACATGTGACTCCATTTCAGAGTTTCTTAGGCATTTGCTTGAATAACTGAGCTAGTTAATATTAAATGGCACATCAACTTGAAGTAAATGTTTAAAAATATTTCTGTTAGTAAATTTGCACATTACTCCCTAATCTCTTTTTAATCAACATGTTTATTAAATCTTCTCTTTATAACAGGAAAGTATAATTCAGCAATTTTTTCTTCAATGTTCATAAATTACTAATTAGTGAAGCTTTACCTTGTAAAGTCTCACTTTCCTATAATAAATTTAGTTCATCGAGGCCCATTGCTGCACACAAAGTTGTGTATTCACGGGCACTTCTAAGTCTTTGTAAAACATTGCTGTTTTCCAAGGGAAGCCTTTGAGTTTACCAAAAGAGTGGAGAGATCCTGGACAATCACAGCCACAGAGCCGGGAAAATACTGAAAAGGTGCTCAGCAGATCACAAGGACATGTGCTTTTGGGGTTGGGGATATATTGCACAAGAAAGAGGAAACACTGGTTGGAGTCTTTCGTTCCCTGCCTCCCTCCTTCACATTCATGGGTGTGACCGAGCTCATTTAAACTACATCATCCTGGGCTCTGTGGTAGAAAAATCCATGATACTCCAAATTTTAAAACTTGCCAAGATTTTGTTCCTGTAATCCTACAACTCTGCACATAACCCATACTTTCCATGTGGGATTTAAATTGTCCTTTTTGACCCATTCATTCCCCCAAGGATGGAAGACTCCCTCAGGCAGCACATGGTCTGGCTTGTTCTCTGCGGTTCTCCCAGACATAGGATGGGCTCTGGCACCTCGGTGAGTAGTGTATGAACAGAGGGCACGATTACTAACAATAACACTTGTGTGGCACTCATTATGGGCTGGGCATCTTCCTAAGTGCTGCATATCCATGAATGCTCTAACCTTTCAGTGACCCTCCTTCTGTTGTCCCCAGTCCCAGAGAGGCTGAGGGGCCCGTGGAGCTGGGACCCAGACTTAAGCCCTTGCTCTCGCCTGTGCCAGTCCTCACTGTTTCCCAGGTGGTCACGTCCTGATGTGGGGCTGTGTCTTTTCCTGGCACCCCTGATGTGTGCAGAATGGTGCCCAGTGTGTAGGTGCATCTGATTAATATCTGCAGGAGACTGGACAGAAGCAGGGCCACATCCAGCAGTATGCTACTGATGGAGGGAAATACGTCATGTGCCACAAAGAGGTAGGTGTCATCAAACATGTAAAAGTAGGGCGGGTGGCACAGCCAAGGCTCATGATGCCACCATGTTATCGACGAAACAGAATTACCTTTGACTTACAGCAAAATCCTAATGCAGTGATTTTACCTTTGAAAGCATTTCATAGATTTTATCCCACTCACCAAGTGTCACTATGAAGAAGCATTTTTACTTCCATTTTAAAAGATGTCCCACATGGAAAGTTTCCATGACTGAGAAAGGACTTCCATCCGTGAGCAATACAGGTGGAGGGCCCTGGCAGGAAGGGGTGTGTTTAGTCTCCTGTGATAGGACTCTTGGGGGGGGGGTGTTCTGCACCCCAGTGGGAAGGGCTCAGGACTCTCATGTGAACTGGATTCTCTGGACAGGTGGCCCTTCTGCTCCCAGAGGAAATGCACAGGGAAAAGAAAGGAAGAGATGGAAGAGAAGGAAGCCAGACTCAGAAGCCTGGACGGACTCTCGGTGCCAGCTGTTACAAGCACTACCAGTGATGCACACGCTTGACAATGAGGTGGGAGAAGTGCCTAAGAACAAGGGGACTGGCCAGGTCCTTAGTTCACCTTTCTCCATGGAAACTGAGAGAAGCTTGTACAGAGATGGCTGTTAGGATGCGCAATTATGCAACCACTGGACTATGGTTTTGCCAGTCAAGTCACACACTTTGTCACTGATCCCTCTGTGCCCTACTTTTGTTTCCCTTTTCATGTCTTTGGACAGAAGAGGGGAATCTTTGGCTCCTAAGACCAGGCAATACTGACTTTCCTCCCCTTGTGATGAGATTCCCACAGAAAACCAAAAGGCCTTACCTTTGGTCATGACTATCCCTGCCAGCGCTCTGTAGCGGGCATGCACAGACGACGTCAGGCCCACGGTCAGCTCGTGGAACTTCTGCGTGACCAGCTGGGACACAGAGTCAGCGAATTCCTGCAAGACACAAGCACCAGGCCTCTTTGGTGCTGAGTGCTCAGCGCTTATGCCCTCCCCTCTTTCTCAAAGCCATGTCCCCAGGCGCGGTGTCTGGAGATCACCCTGTCACACAGACTCCTCACTGCATTCACTGTCTTCCCCAGGCCTCTGGAAAGAGTCAGATGTTATACTGGATGGGCTGCGGATGCTGACTTTGAGGAACAAGCCCAGCTTGGCCCCTGGGCAGGAGGCTGCCTGCTCCTGAGCAGATACTTTGTAAGACGACATGTCCATGTCCTCCTTTTCCCTACCTCTCCAAGAGCAAGCTCAGTGCTGTCCTGAGGGGAGCCTGGGCACCTGTACACTGGACAGTTGGCTCCCACATTCTCCCCAGTACTGCTGAGCCAGTTTCTAAGTACCCCACTCATACCAGGGACTGTCTTGGCTGAACTGCTCCCTTCTGCTCACTCACAACCTCCTCCCTTCACATTTCTGCACACAAGCCTATATGCATTCACATGCACATACAGGGAGGCACACATACACATGCACACACAGGGAAGCATACACACACGTGAACACAGAGAAGCATACATACATGTACACACAACACAATACATACCCACACATATGCACACACACATTCAGACAGTGCATTGACATGCCTGCACACATGCAACACACATAAAGATACACACACACACACACCCCAACGTGATATAATCCCCATTACTGAATTGCTCTAAAGTGACCCCTTATGCCTATTAAAGCAGCACGTGTGAAATAACAAGTCCACTATGGCCCAGGGCATGTGGCTTGCCTTCTCTGTGACATCTGCTGTCTGACAGACAGCAGGGAGCTGGGGCCAGCACCCCTCTTCTGAGCGCCTGTGGGGTTTGGGGCCTGGCCCTGTGCTGCTGTGGATGCTCCGGAAATCCCGCAGGTGACAATGCCATGCCAGTGCTGCTTCCCTGAGGGGTGTGATGTCAGATCACCCCCTGGAAGTGATGGTTCAGGCCTGGCTGGCTGAAGATGGTGGGTCACCTGTTTGGGAGCTGCTGAATGTGGGTATGTGTCCTGGGGGGGTCTTTCTGGCTCAGCCCTGAAGGAACCCCAGCTGATGGGCCAGACGCCTCCCCTTGGGGTGGGAGCCACAGAGTCACGGGGTTTTAGAGATGGATTCTGGAGGCTGTCCTGTCCTTTTGTGTCCTTGAAACTGAGGTCCAGAGAGGGTGGGCACATATCCCCAGATGCCTGTGTCTACTGGACACATGACCGCAACCTAGACATCTTAGAAAATGGGAACTTATTATGTCACATCTGGAGGCCACAAGTCCAAAATCCATGTGTCATAGGGCCACACTCCCTCCAGACCTCTAGGGGTGGGTCCTTCCTGCCTCGTTCATCTTCTGGGACTCCAGGCAGCCCTGGACTGGTGGCCACTCTCTCCCATCTCTACCTCCATCTTCACATGGCTTCTCCTCTGTGTCTGTCCTCTTGTCTCTTCTAAGGACACTGTCACCAGATGTAGGGCCACCTGGATAACCTGGAATGATCACCTGACTTTACATCCTTTGTCATCACATCTGCAAAAACCTAGTCCCGGTTCCGGACACAGGATGTGGACATGTATTTTGGGACCACATTCAGCTCATCTCACCTTGCTGTTTATTCCCACCCTTGTGCTGTAACGGAGAGGAGGGTGTCTGGTTTTCTCAGTGAATTTGCGCTATTACTCTATTTCTTGAAAGAGCTGGACTTCTTAATTTGAGTGGGAGCATGAACTGGTGAATCAGCCTTCCCTGGGTGTCCAAACCATGACATCAGACATTGTGACATCACGGTGCCCTTGGAACCCCAGCCACAAAGGGTTGGCTTTATCCTTGCCATCAAAAAGGTGGGCCCCTGACAAAATAGTAAGTCATCCTTCAGATTGGGAGGCCAGTGCTGGGGGCGAAGGAGAGACCCAGGACACGGAGCCCCGATTGAGGGCAGGGCTGTGTGTGGAGCTAGAGCGGCCAGGGTCCCCTAAGAGCCAGGAGGCCTGGGAAGCACCCACAGCTGGCCTCCCGGTGGCTGCTCTCCAGAGTCAGATTCCAGCGGCTTCCTGTGCATTCACCTTCCATCCTGAGACTTGAGTACCCTAGGGCAGAGCGAGCATATTTACGTCTCCAATCTCGTCTCAAGGTGCCGGGCATTTGTCCCCACATGCTGTGGCCACAGGCGCTACTCTCAGCGTGCCTCCAATTGGCCTTTTCCTTCTGTTTCCAATGAGATTTCGAATGTGCCAGAAGTGACGGGACTGCCAACCCAGGCGAGAGTTCGTCACTTTGCGTCTGCCTGACAGAGCCCCACAGGGCCCTTAGAACAGGATGTCCCAAACCACTGAGGATAACAGAAGACCCACAAAAACGCTCTTTGTTAGGAAACGCAGAGACCACTCTCCATCACTTATAAACGCAAAATGGACTCATGGTGCCAGCGTCGTGAGCACACGATCCCACTTACTCCTGACAAGGAAGCCACTAACGCCACCATTCAACTATTGGAGTAGTGTCACCAAAGTTGCTGCCAGAACGCAACAGGGACCACGGGCAGGAAGTGGGTAAACACAGAGCCTGATGCCCTCTTTGCTTCACTGTAACCAGCCGGCTGGACTCCTGGGTGGAGGCCCCACTGGGCAGCCCACAGAAGGAGATGTGGCTGGGGGAGGGTGTGTAGCAGGGGGTCTGCCCAGCAGCCACCCACTGGGCCCAGGCCGGCTCCAGGTGCTTGGCGTCCATTTTGAGCTAATTAGCCCTGAGCCTCAGCCATCCCCTAAAGGAACCATTTCAGGAAATGTTGGGGCAGAACCAACAACAATGCAGTTGAATTCTAGCATTTTTCACAGATGAAGTCTTCCTCCACTCACTCAGCTTGGCAAGGTGTGCAGACCCACAGGGTGGCCTGTGCTGTGCAGGCAGCTCCTTGAGTGACAGTGCCAGGGATCTCTGCTCAGAAGGGGCAGCCTCCACCCAACAGTTTATGTGACCTTGCTCCACCCCCACCAGAGACCTGCCCCTGCTGAGAGGGCCATTGCTGAGCCTAGTGCCTGTGGGGAGGGGCCCAGGGCACAACACAGCCCCTGACCAGATCAAAGTCGATGGTTAGGGCACCCCTCCTGGGAGGGCAGGGACACTCACCCATCCCAGGGCGTATGGTGGGGGCCCCTCAGGCTCATGGGTCAACTCCCCTGCACAGCTCTATTGCCAGTTAAAACTGTTCTTCATATACAAATTGCCATTACTCGGGCTTCATGTAAGGAAGGTTTCATTTTTTAGTTTGTCCGTGGTTAGTGGATTGAAATATGCAATAGGACATACAGATGAGGGAGTAGGTGCTGGCTGAATTTTGTGCCAGTGATGTCACAGAGTGGGACTTGTTCTGAGGATCCGTCTGAACCCCTGCAAGGCTGTGCCCGCGCCCATGAAAGGCCCTGAGCAATGGCTGGTGGAAAGGACAGGTGGCTCGGCTGGGCTAAGGGGCTGCTCTGAGTGGTCTGGGGAAGCGCTGTCCCAGACACGCCCATGCCTTCCCCAGGCAGCCTGTCTGGGTGCTGAGCCGCCTGGCGGCTTCCCACTCCTCCCTTCCAAACGCATGCTCCGTAGTGACCTTTGAAAAAAGTTCTCCCTCCCTACGTCTCTTTTTAGGAGTCCTTTGCATTTATGTTAAGCATATTTTTAAATTAACATTTTATAAAGGTGAATATAAAAAGAAAAAAGCAACGATTCCTTTAACTTCTTTTATGTTGAATGGTGGAGTGTCCAATTCAAATGTAGAGCTGGTTGGTTAGCTGGCTGACACTGACCTCTTTGATATTTTATCAACATCATTTCCTAGGACTGCTTTGAGGAGCCCCACTGTGGTTTTCCAAGTGGGGATTTAATGGAACGTTTACATACTGAACCATCACCCTGAGTTTTTCTGCTTTTATTTTTTTTATTTTATTTTATTTATTTATTTTTTTTAAAGATTTTTATTGGGTAATTGGGGGGATGGGAACAGTGCTGGGGAATTGGGGGAAGGGGAACAGACAAGTTGCTGTCGTTTTGTTCTTCAATCTAGTTGTGGAGGATGCTTCACTAGCCCAAGTTGGCACCATCATTGCGCTCTTCCCTGGCGAGGCAGATCAGTCGCCGGCTTCTGGACGGCTGCTCACTGCGGCTGCTGGCCGCTCACGCTGGCTGCTGGCTACACACGCTGGCTGCTGGCTACACACGGTAGCCCATGGCAACCCACTGCCACAGGGGCTGCAGCCTACGCCGTCGCCGGCGACTCACAGCAGCCCAGCTCCAGGTTGAGCTGTTGTTCAGCATCTTAGCTGTGGAGGGCAGTGTCACTGGCCCTCATATGTGGGATCCGAACCGGGGCCCTCTGGCGTCCCAAGCGAGTTCTTAACCATCGCGCCACTCGGCCGGCCCGAGTTTTTCTGCTTTTAAAAGTCAAAGGAAGAGGAATCAGGATGCATCGTCTCCAGCAGAAGAAAGAGCATCTGTTACAGGGGCTCAGGGAGCCTCGAGGAGTTAGACGTTTCCTGGCTGTGGAAGCATCCAGAGAGACCAGCCTTCCAGGTTTCTGCTCTGTGGCCTCCGGCTTCCTCCACGAAGCTGCTGGGCACCACCCCCTCCCAGCCTGCCCCTCCTGCAGCCTGGCAGGGCAAGTGCTTGGCTTTCATTACATCACACACATGATTGCAGCTGCAGGTAGCATCCCATAGATGGGTTTGTGAGTGTGCATGACGTTGTCCTCGATTACACAGGGTGTTAGGAGCCATACCTGGAACTCACATTGGGGGACGTGTACTTACTGCCTGAGTTAATACTTGGGATTTTTTATGTTTTAATCACTTGGGATTTAATATAGACACTCAACTTGGGTTGCTGCAAACCCAGACAATCAGACCCTGAAATAATCTGATTTGCTTCCCCAGCTGGCACCTGCTGTATGATAGAGAGCTACAGTGCTCAAAAACAAGCATG